TGAGGGTGCAACAGTCACGCTGGATCGCGGTGCTGGAGTCCCAGGAACGGCATTCTGGCACGATTCATGATCGCCAAGACGCAACAGCTAAGTTGATCCGTGACGTTGGAGTCCCGATAAGAATGTTCTGGCATGCTTCAGGGTCTTCTAACGGTTGTCTTCCAACGGATCAGTTCCCCCAGTGGACATGAGCCTTGTCGGGGCCTTTGACGAACAAGCTTGGAAGGAGGGATTACAACGTCGTTGATGACTCGTGGGTTTACATTGGTCCTCCTCCTCCTCCTCCTCCTCATGCTTCTCCTCCTCCTGTTCCTCCTCCACCTCCTCCTCCTCCTCTTCCTCCTCCTCCGCCTCCTCCTGCGCCTCTTCTTCCTCCGCCTCCACTTTCTCCTGCTGCTCCTTCTCCTCCTCCTCCTCCTCCTCCTCCTCCTCCTCCTCCTCCTCATCATCATCATCCTCCTCCTCCTCCCCCATCCCTCCTCCTGCGCCTCTTCTGCCTCCGCCTCCACTTCCTCCTGCTCCTCCTTCTCCTCCTCCTCCTCCTCCTCCCCCCTCCCTCCTCCTCCTCCTCCTCCTCCTCCTCCTCCTCCTCCTCCTCCGCCTCCTCCTCCTCCTCCTCCTCCTCCTCCTCCTCATCCTACTCCTCCTTCCCACGATTTCCCCCCTCCCTCCCAGCGCAGGGACACCCGCGTGGGCACCCACCCCCGTCTCTTGAGGGGACCCCTGGCATTGGTGTAAAGAGACCAGCCTGTGCGAGGTTTCCTTAAGGCCTGGCCGGGGGGGCACTCATGAGGCACATCGATGGGCATACCCATTTGCGGGAGACTGTAAGACGCAGGATTAGTGGTAATTGAAGGACACTTGATTCATCTCCATTACATAGTCAAGTAATTGATGAAGTACTTTACATGTTGATTACTAAACAAATTGTACAACGAGGTGAGGGGCGACCGCAGGGGGGAGGAGGATGAGCAGGAAGAGGAGGAAGAGGACGAGACGAAGGAGGAGGCGAAAGCTGCAAACAGAGGCGGCGGGGCAGGAGGGAAGGAGGGAAGGAAAGCAGGTAAATTACCAAAGGCGGCCATCGCCACGTCGTGGTGGCAGTCGTGGTAATGACGGTCACCTCCTCCTCCTCCTCCTCCTCATCCTCCTCCTCCTTCTCCTCCTCCTCCTCCTCCTGCTCACCCCCCCTCCTCCTCCTCCTCCTCCTCCTCCTCCTCCTCCTCCTCCTCCTCCTCCTCCTCCTCCTCATCATCATCATCATCATCATCATCATCATCATCATCATCATCATCATCATCATCATCGTCCTCCTTCTTCTCCTTCTCATCCTCATCCTCCTCCTCCTCCTCCAACTGCTCCTCCTCTTCCTCCTCCTCCTCCGCCTTTATATGCTCTTCATCCTCCTCCTCCTCCTCCTTCTCCTCCTCCTCCTCTTCCACCTCCTCCTCATCCTCCTCCTGCTCCTTCTCCTCCTGCTCCTAGCCGATTCAAGACTGGTGGGAAGGCCAGCTTCCGACAGCCTTTGTGTCTACGGCCATGCTCTCGTGAAGTGTAAAATCGAGAACCCTTCGCGCGAAGGCTCCTCGAGCTGTTTCTGTATGCGTTGCGGGGCGTACGGCTCCGACAACAAGCCAGGCCCCCTTATGCGAGAGCGCTGCAAAGGGAAGCCTGCGAGTCCAGGGATAAAGAGCCAGATGAATAGAGCTCGTCGTGGTCAGCACCCCCACCATCGTGCCACAACCAACTCGCTCGTGCTCGGCTCCCCTGGCCCGCTGAGCGCGTGTGAAAGAGCTGAGATCGAGCGAGAGATTGTGCAGGGTGCCTGGGTCCCAGCAGGCTGGGAGGCCTGAGCAGACTGTCTGGGCCCCAGGCTTCGCTGCTAAAGCGTTGGTGCTGGCCTTCTCCGGCATCGGCGAGTCCGAGCTCCCGAATGTTCGTGCCCTGGGGCAGCGTACTGTTAGCGCGTCCGACGATTCGGCTGAAGAGTCGGAATCGGACGGCGCTCTGGAGTAATTTGCTGCGCTGTCCGCCTTTATGGCCGTCCACCACCACCTCCCCCTCCTCCGCCTCCTCCCCCTTCACCTCTTCCTCCTCCTCCTCCTCCTCTTCCTCCTCCTCCTGCTCCTGCTCCTGATCCTGCTACTGCTCCTGCCCCTGCTCCTGCTCCTGCACCTGTTCCTGCTCCTGCCCCTGCTCCAGCACCTGCTCCTAGGTCTCCTCCTCATGGTCCTCCTCCTCCTCCTCCTCCTCCTCCTCATCAGCATCATCATCATCATCATCATCATCATCATCATCATCATCATCATCATCATCATCATCATCATCATCATCATCATCATCATCATCATCATCATCATCATCATCATCATCATCATCCTCAACATCATCATCATCATCATCATCATCATCATCATCATCATCATCATCAACATCATCATCATCATCATCATCATCATCAGCAGCAGCAGCAGCAGCAGCATCTGCAACAGCAGCTGCATCCCCATGCCCCGCAACCTATACAGCATCATAAGCAACAGCCGCAGCAGCATCATCATCATCAACATCATCAGCATCAGCATCATCATCAGCATCAGCAGCAACAGCATCATCAGTATCATCAACATCAACATTGGCATGATCAGCAGCCTCATCCCCAGCATAATCGGCATCATCAACATCATCATACTAATCATTGGCATCATCGTCGTCATCATCAGCAGCAGCCTCGTTATCATCAACATCAGCATCGACAGCAGCAACCACACCATCGTCAGCATCATCATACTGATCCTAATCCGCATCGGTATCATCACCCGCATCGTTATCATCACCAGATACCAGCATCAGCATTAACAGTACCAGCACCATCATGATCATCATCAGCATCATCATCTGCATCATCGTCCGTGTCAGCAGCAGCCTCACCATCAACATCAACAGCATCAGCAGCAGCATCCTCATCAGCAGCAGCATCATCATTAACAGCATCGTCACCATCAGCATAACCATCGGCATCGCCATCCTCATCATCATCAGCATCATCCTCATCCTCATCAGCATCATCATCAGCATCATCATCACCAACAGCAACAACATCACATTCCTCATCATCAGCATCGACATCATCACCAGCAGCATCATCAATCAGCAGCAGCATTATCATCAGCATCAGAAGGAACATCATCAGCATCACCAGCAACAGCATCACCAACAACATCATCACCATCATCCGCGACAGCAACAGCAGCATCCTAATCAGCAACATCATCAGCAGCATGATCACAACCATCATCAGCATCATCAGCATCAACAGCGTCATCAGCATAATAATCATCAGCATCCTCCTCATCATCATCAGCATCGACATCGTCATCGTCATCATCAGCTTCATCAGCATCAGCATCATCATTAGCATCGTCATCATCAGCAGCATCATCAACTAAAAAAACATCATCATGATCACAAGCATCATCAGCATCAGCATCAACATCATCATCAGCATCATGATCAGCATCAGCATCACCATCAGCATCAACAACATCAGCATCGTCATCATCATCAGCAACATCATCAGCAGCATCATCACCAGCAGCACCATCATCATCACCAAAACCAGCATCAGCAGCATCATCAGCATCATCATCATCAGCATCATCATCGTCATCATCATCAGCATCATCATCATCATCCACCTCCTCCTCCTCCTCGTCCTGCTCCTGCGCCTGCGCATGCTCCTGCTCCTGATCCTGCTCCTGCTCCTGGTCCTCCTACCCCTCCCCCTCATCCTACTCCTCCTCCCCGTCCTCCTCCTCCTCCCTCCTCCTCCTCCTCCTCCTCCTCCTCCTCTTCCTCCTTCGCCTTCTTCACCTTCTCCTCCTTCTCCTCTTCCTCCTCCTCCTCTTCTTCCTTCTCCTTCTCCTCCTCCTCCTCCTCCTCCTCCGCGCCGCCGCCGCCGTCCGCTTTCGTCTCCTCCTCTCCTCTTCCTCCTCCTCCTCCTCCTCCTCCTCCTCCTCCTCCTCCTCCTCAACATCATCATCTTCCCCCTCCTCCTCCGCCTCCTCCTCCTCCGCGTCCTCCTCCTTCTCCTCCTCCTCCTTCTCCTCCTCCTCGTCCCCCTCCTCCCTCCCAGTTTCCCTCTCTCCGTCCCTCCCTCCCTCCCCCACGCCCTCCTCGTCCTCCCTCCCGCCCGCTCTCGCGGGCGCAGAAATGCCTGGTGCCGCCGCGGCCGCTGCCGACGCCGAGGGCGTTCCGCCCTGGGCCTCGGTGGAGAGGGGAAGCCCTCGAGGCCGCGGCATCGCGGGCGGGGGGCCCGACTTTTCACGAGCCCCTGCGAACCCGTGGCCCGGGCCGACAAGGACGTCTGGGGCGGGACGGACACTCTCGCCGGCTCCGCTCCCTCCTCGATTGCGGTCCTTCCTCTGGCGCTCTCCCGCCCAGCTTCCCTTCCTCGGATCCATTATCCTCCTCCTCCTCCTCCTCCTCCTCCTCCTCCTCCTCCTCCTCCTCCTCCTCCTCCTCCTCCTCCTCCTCCTCCTCCTAGCCGTTCTGCGCTCTAGTAGCGTTGCTGGCACTCGATTCAGAGCGGCACTTGGTGTCAGCGAGTCAAAAGGCTCGTCTCAAAGCTTTCTCATTCTTTCATGGGGCGCGATGGCGGCGGCGGGAAGGGAGGTGGCAAAGGCCATGGGGCGACCCACTGGTCTGGCGCCCCTCCGCCGTGGCATTTCGCGCAAAACCACAACCTCAGCGGCGGCGGCGGCGGAGGTGGTGGATACTGGCAGCAGCAGCCCACCCTCGAGCGCTGGAAGTGCGTGCACTGCGGATGCGGGAAGACGTCAGTCAAGTCGGCGGTCTGCAAGCACTGCGGCGCGCCGAGGACGGCTCCAGCTCCTGTCATTCCTCCTGGGCCTCGTGGCGTGTGGTCTCATCCGCTTGGACAGCCTCAGGCGCCAGGAGTCAGCGCCCCTGGGACCTGGCACGCGCTCCCACCGGGATCCCAGGTGCCCGCCGCCGCCCCTGTTGGGCTACAGCTCGCCGCTTCGGGCTGGACAGGCGGGGCGCAGCAGCAAGGGGCCTTGGAGTACGGGGCCTCCGACTTGCCCAAGCTCCGGGAGTTGGTGCGCACCTTCGCCTCCCTCGGCGACAAGCGGCAGGAGCAGCACTACCGTCGGCTGGTGGAACAGCTCGAAGCCGCAGCCAGACCGCCTGCACCGCCGACGGTCGGGGCGGCCAAGCACGCGCTGGGCCAGGCGCGGGTTCAACTCGACCGAGCGGTGGCGGCGGCGGAGCTCGAACAGCAGCTCGACGCGGCCAAGCATGATGCCATCGAGGCGCATGCCAACTTCACGGAGTGCGAGCGCAAGTACCAGGAGGCGGTCAAGGCGCTCCAGGCGGAGGTCCTTCCGAGTTGGACGACCGCGGTTTCTTTGGCCTCACGGAAGAAGGCGTCGAACTCTCCGAGGGCGAGAAGCAAGAGCTGGAGGCCCGCAAGGCGCAGGTCCTTCAGATCTTCCGGGAGGCGGCCAAGACCGCCTTCGGCTCAGCCAAGGAAAAGGCTGCGACGCTGGTGGACGAGCAAAAGGCCTTCACGAAACGCATGGAGGCCAAACGGAGGCGCATCGAGGAGGAGGCGCCTCCAGAAGGAGCTCCCGGTGCTGGCTCTGGCGGTGGAGGAGCGGCTCAAGCAGCACCTGGAACAGGCGGGGGTGTGGGTGTCAAGGTTGACCTCACGCTTCCCTCCCAAGACGAGGCGGCCCACGCACGCAGCCAACCTGTCCCCGAAGCTGCCGACGAGGAGCTCTTCACACAGGCCAAGCAGCAGAGCAAGCAGCAGCAGGGAGGGCGGTCGCGTGTTTGACGAGCTCGTCCGCACGACCTCAGTGGTCGATCCGATCAGCATTCGGATTGTCAGCTACAACTGCAATGCTTGGTCCACGGGGCGGGAGTTCATGGAGTGGATGTGGCACGACAGGCATGAACATATTCAGCTCTACCTGATGCAGGAGACCCGCCTCCTGGCGTCAGGAGTGGCATCCCCTGCTTCGTGGGCCCTGAAGGCGGGGTTCAACATGCATGCAGGCGCGGCTTTTCCCACAGGGGACGGCACCCTGGAACATTCTGGGGGCGTGGCGGTCCTTGCTCAGTCGCGATTCGGTGCAAAGCCCATGGGTAATTTTTTTTCTGCTGCCCATCGGCATCGTGTTGCAGCCTCGCTGGTTTCGATCACTGATGCGATGCAGGTGCTGTTCGTCTCAGTGTACCTCGTTACCAACGAAGGCCTCGGCCCCCAGAAATTTGAGCTGCTGGGGGTGCTGGGCGAGACTGTGGCGGCGTCGGAGTGGCCCGTGATCCTCGGGGGTGACTGGAACGTGCCAGCCGACGAGCTGGCAGCTTCTGATTGGCCGGGCCGCTTGCACGTACAGCTTCTCGGTCCAGAGGACCCCACATGCGGCGGACGGGTCATTGATTTTTTCGCAGCCTCGCAGTGCCTCTTGCCGTATGTTTCGTGCGTGCGCACCCTTTTAAATACTCCTCGCGGCCCTCATGCTGCGGCCTCGCTGGAGCTCACGGGCCTCAATGGTAAAGCCAAGGCATGGCAACGCGTTGTGCCTTGTTGTTTCCCTTTGGAGCCCCCTCCTCTTTCTCCCCCCTCCTCTTCTTCTCCTTCCTCTTCTTCTCAGCCCAGGGCGCCGCCGAGGGGCGTCCCGGAGGGCGTTTTGTTTGAGGCGCCGCGGCTGGAGTGGTCCTGGGAAGAGGGATCCCTGCCTCGAGTGCCGACGGAGGCAATGAAGGAGTGGTTCGATGCAGCCGAAACGTTTTTAGTTGCCAGACACTCTGTCGACGCCAGCGCTCGGGCGAAGTACACTGGTAGAGCGAGAGGGTGTCAGTTTCGGCAGGTGCCTTTGGCAGCGGCATGGGGTAGAGAGCTCAGGCGTAGGTCATCTTTTTCAACTGTCCAATTTTTGCAGCTTCGGCGCGTGATCGGCCAGATGCTGGGCCTGACCAAAATCGAAGGGGGGACTTCGGGAGTGACCTGGGGGAGGCTCCGAGGGATTCTTCAGCAGGTCAGCCCATGTCTTGCCTCGGCGGAGGCCGGGTCTCTTGGGCACCTTTCAGGGGAGGATCTCCTGGAAGGCCTCCGAGACCCCGACAGGCGCACTCAACTCTTTGCAGATCTGTCGAGCGAGGTCTCCTGTAGGCTGGCAGCGGATGCTCGCCAGTTTCGTAAATCGTGGCAGGACTTCGCCCAAAGTTCGGTCCTGAAGGGAGGCCGAGCCGCGCATAGGTTCAGTAAAGGCCCGCGTCCTGTCCCTGAGCCTGTCCTGGCCTCCGATGAGGACGGGGGTTTTCCGCTCGCGGGCCATGCTGCTCTGGACCGTTTGTTGGAAGATTGGGTCCCTATCTGGTCACGGGAGAGCCGTTCGCAGGAAGCGCACCCAAGGAGTTGGCCTGTCTTGCAGTTCCTTGAGCCCATCTCGGCCGAGCAGGTGGGGGAGGCGTGCAAATGTTTTTCCAAGTGCACGGCGCTTGGGTGGGATGGCTTCCACCCCCGATTGCTTGCTCAGCTACCCGTTGGCTTCGCGCAGAGGTTTGCAGATGTCTTGAACTTTGGGAACGGGATCCAGCTGCGTCAAGTCTGCTGCTAATTTTAATTGTTTTTCTTGACAAGCCAACAGGAGGGGTACGACCGATCGGGCTCCTGCCGTTATGGGCCCGAGTGTGGTCCAAGATCCGGCAGCGCGAGTGCAGCGCCTGGGAGCAGGCCCACGCTTCGGACCTGTTCTGGGGGCAGAGCCGCTCGACCTCATGCGACAAGAGCGCATGGCTTCACAACGCGTTGGCGGCGTTTGCACGCTTGCGGAATCTCGCCTCGGGCTCTGCATTTTTAGATCTGAAGAAATTGTATGAAAACATTTCTCACGCTGAGCTTCGAGCGGCAGCGGTCCACGTCGGCTTCCCCGAGAGTCTGCTACGGGGTCTTTGTTGCCTCTACAGGTCAGAATGGAGGGCTGTTTTTCAGGGAGTCACGGGTAGGCCTCTCGAGGCAAACGGCACTGTAGTAGCCGGGTGCTCGTGCGCCACCTCCTTGGCCAAAGTTTTACTCCTAGTGATTTTGAAGCGAGCCGATGCACTTGCACCGATTGTCACGATTAAAAATGTTATCGATGACGTTTCGTTTCATGCGATGGGAGGCCAGAGAACAGTCCCACACCAGCTGGGCCTCGCCTTCAACTCGGTGGCAGATGCAGTCCAGGAGCGGGGTCTCCCTATCTCATGGGAGAAAGCCGGTTTCCTGGCCAACTCGTCGGCACTGGCTGCAGATACTGCGGCAGTGCTGCCCCTGCAGTTGGCTGACCGAGAGCGCTCTCATAGAGATCTCGGCGGGGACGCTACGGACGGCGGGGTTCGGAGGGTCGGCACGCATCTCGATAGATATCTCGCGGCCCAGCGGCGGGCGTTGAAGCTGCGCACGTTGCAAGGCGCTGGCGCAAACATTTTTAGGGTGCACCGCGCAGGCCCCACAGCTGTCGCCATGTGGGGGACGTGTGTCCACGGTTTGGGCGACACGCGGCTGCACGGCCTCAGAGTTCTGGCGGCTCACGCGGAAGGGCGTCTCCCTAAGGACGCGTCGGTCGGGCTCTACCTTGGCTGCGGGCGGCAAGGGTGGAGGCGCGACCCGCTGGTGCTCGCCACGGCCGATTCGATGCGCCAGTACTGCGAGGTCCTCGGTGACGGGCATTTGTCCAGAACAGTGCTCGAGTCTCTCGTCACGGCCGGCCAGGCCAACGCTAGCTCAGCCAGGCCATGGGTCTCCTGCAAGGATCCAGTTGCGGCCATGATTTTAACGGCCCAGCGGGTAGGCTGGAGCCTCAAGGATGCTGGGACGGCGGTGGACGATCGGGGGGCGGAGTGGGACCTATATTTTTATTCGCCTGCATGCGTGGCGGCCCAAATTTCGTTCGCCGCCCGCAGGGCCTCAGACGTCCGAGCTCTATCGATGCAGGACGCCTCTGTTTGGGCTTCTGATGTCTGCTGGCGCCCGGTCCTCGAGCTTTTGTTTTCGGATTGGTCAGATACGTGGGGCCGGCACGAGCAAAATACGTTGCGCGGTTTAGTCTCGGGATCCCATTGGACCCAAGCGCGGCTCCATGATTCGGAGCCCTCTTTGCCAGACGTTTGCCAGCTGTGGCAGGGGGCTCGGGGAACATTGTTCCACAGATGCTATCATTGCCCCGCCCACGATGCGATGCGCAGGGATTGTCTCCCACTTGAGCTCAAACGGGCAGCCGCTAGGATGACAGACAGTCCAGAAGGCTGGCAGGAGCGGTTTGCGCGCGGCGTATTTCCTGAGCCAGGGCAGTGCGTGGGGCGCCAGCCGTTCAACCCAGCTTGGCGGTTGTACACGACTGCCGAGGTGCAGCTGCCAATCCTCCTGGAGGGAGGTTTTGTTTTCACTGACGGCTCGGGGTTGGATCAGCTCCACCCGTCGCTGCGGGTTGCGGGCTGGGCAGTGGTGCTTTACGATGCCGAGCGCAGATACGTCGGAGCATTGTTCGGGCGGGTTCCCCCTGAATTTGGAGTGTCGGGCACGGCCCGGGACGGGGAGGATTACGCTGTCTTGATGTGTTCCCAACACGTATTGGGTAGATATGCTTTGCGCGCCGACTGCAAGAGCACGCTCAGTTGTTGCCGTTCGGTGGAAACGTCCACCAGCCCGTGCAACCCACGCGCTCATTTGTGGCGCAGAGTTCATAGCAGGGAGGATTTCGTGAATCGCCCGTTTGACCACGTCAAAGCCCAAGCTACCGCTTCAGACGTGGAGCGCGATCGAATCTCGGAGTTCGACCGGGATGGCAACTCCGCGGCGGATCGATTTGCAAAGAAAGGAGCGGCTTTCGGCAGGTCTTCGCAAGCTGATGTGCACATGTTGGAAGGATGCCATTTTATAACCCGATTGGCTTGCAAGTTTTCGGCTCGCCTCTCGGCCGCGATGGGAGCTTCGGAGACGCGAGATAATCTCGGTGTCGATTTTTTGAAGACGGTCGATGTGGGGACTTGCCCCCCCGGGCTTTTTGTGGAAGAGTTCCCTGAGGCGGACCCGATTCACGATCCTCTCGCCCCTCCTCCTGTTGAGCCTCCTGCTGCTGCTACTGCCATTGATCTCCCCTCGGGCGCAGCCTCAGGAGACCCAGAGTGGATTGTCAGCCGTGGCGTGCGCCCTTGGAGGGTTAACCAGCACTGTATAGTTCAGTGTGCTGTGCCTGGGGATGAGCCCATTATTTTTTGCCCTTCGTGTTGGCAGTATGATACTACTCCGATGCAGCGGGGCCTCAAGGGCCAGTGCAAGGGCACAAGGCCGATCAAAGGTGGTTCGGCGTATACAGTGCGCAAGAGGCTGCAGGATGGACATCATCCGACTGAGTTCCCCCTCGTGCCGCTTGGCCCCTGTGAGGCTCCAGCGGAGGTCACTCGAGCGCGGTTCTCGAGGCACTTCGGACTGGACCACGGTGGAGACCAGATCATGCACGCAGCTCCGAGGGTGGTCCCTTTTTCGAAGCAGCCCGTGGCTCCCAGACTCGGGCTTGCTTCCGTGCTGCTCGC